AAACATGCCACCCTGCAGAGGGTTTCCTGTGGCTGTGACACATCCCACCCTGGATTCTCCTTTCTATGGCCACTCAATGCAGCAACTACAGCTGAAGGAGAGCAATATGCATAATTCTCATGCAAAGAAGGAAAAGAGGATTCAGTTTGACCGCAGAGCTCTTCCTCTACTCAAGGGATTTGTAAGGTTCATCACCACAGAAAGTTAAAGGTGGTGACCAGGCTGGGGCTCCGGCTGAAGCTCTGCCCTTGTTCAGGACTCTGCAGGCACTGTATCTTGTGTGGTTGTGCTGGTAGGTAACAGGACTGGAACCGCTTATGAAGTTTCCCAGCATCTTGAAGTGCATCTAAAGCTTGTGTGCGCTGTGGATGTGCTTGTGGTTGTTGAGACTAGTTCTATGTTTAAAGCTCTTTTCACACTCAGAGCACTTGTAGGGTCTCTCTCCTGTGTGGATGCGCTGGTGTTGCTTCAATTCAGAACTGCTTCTGAAGCTCTTCCCACACTCAGGACACCAAAATGGTTTCTCTCCTGTGTGGATGCGCTGGTGGTAGATGAGCTCAGAACGGCTTTTGAAGCTCTTTTCACACTCAGAGCACTTGTACGGTCTCTCTCCTGTGTGGATGCGCTGGTGACGCTTCAGTTCAGAACTGCTTCTGAAGCTCTTCCCACACTCAGAACACCGAAATGGTTTCTCTCCTGTGTGGATGCGCTGGTGGTAGATGAGCTCGGAACGGCTTCTGAAGCTCTTTTCACACTCAGAGCACTTGTAGGGTCTCACTCCTGTGTGGATGCGCTGGTGACGCTTCAGTTCAGAACTGCTTCTGAAGCTCTTCCCACACTCAGGACACTGAAAGGGTCTCTCTGCTGTGTGGTTGCGCTGGTGGTAGATGAGGTGGGAACTGCTTTTGAAGCTCTTCCCACACTCAGAGCACTTGTAGGGTCTCTCTCCTGTGTGGATGCGCTGGTGACAGTTCAAATCAGAACTGCCCCTGAAGCTCTTCCCACACTCAGGACACCGAAATGGTTTCTCTCCTGTGTGGATGCGTTGGTGGGAGGTGAGGTGGGATCTCCTTTTGAAGCTCTCCCCACAATCAGAGCACTTGTATGGACTCTCTGTTGAGCGTTTGCACTGGTGGTTAATGATGCTGGAATCTTTTTCAAAGCTATTTCCACACTCGGTGCATGGATTCTGCTTTTTCTTCGGGCACACAACCTTGCTCCTGGGTTCTTCGGGCTCCTCTTGACCTATGTTGAAGTCCAGTGGGATGCTTCCTGTCTTTTGCAGACACTTTCCCTGTGGCTTCTTGATGTGCTCACCCTGACCTTGCTCCAGGCCCCACAACCTTTCAGCCACACCACTTTCCTGCTGATCCTCCAATATATCTGCAATCCCAATTCCTGCTGGATGAAAGAGGAAATCCAG